GACCAGACTGTGATTGAGACCGGGACTGAGGCCGGAGCCAGACCAGGACCACACCGGGACTGAGACTAGGCCTGAGGTCAGAACCAGACCAGGACCGGGACCACAATGGGACTGAGACCAGGACTGAGGCCAGAACTAGACCAAGACCAGACCATGATTGAGACCGGGACAGAGACCGGGACCAAACCAGGACTAAGACCAGGACTGAGACCGGGACCACACCGGGACCACACCGGGACTGAGACTGGGACCAGACCAGGACCAGACCGTGACTGAGACCGGGACCAGACCGGAACCACACCGGGACTGAGACCAGGACTGAGGCCGGAACCAGACCAGGACCAGACTGTGATTGAAGCCGGGACTGAGACCGGGACCAGACCGGGACCAGACCGGGACTGAAAACGGTGTAGTCTTGGTATAGTCCTGATTCAGTCCTGGTATAGTCCTGATTCAGTCCTGGTTCAGTCCTGGTTCAGTCCTGGTATAGTCCTGGTTTCAGTCCTGGTTCAGTCCTGGTATAGTCCTGGTTCAGTCCTGGTTCAGTCCTGGTATAGTCCTGGTTCAGTCCTGGTATAGTCCTGGTTCAGTTCTGGTATAGTCCTGGTTCAGTCCTGGTTCAGTCCTGGTATAGTCCTGGTATAGTCCTGGTTCAGTCCTGGTATAGTCCTGGTTCAGTCCTGGTATAGTCCTGGTTCAGTCCTGGTATAGTCCTGGTATAGTCCTGGTTCAGTCCTGGTATAGTCCTGGTTCAGTTCTGGTATAGTCCTGGTTCAGTCCTGGTTCCTGGTTCAGTTCTGGTATAGTCCTGGTTCAGTCCTGGTATAGTCCTGGTTCAGTCCTGGTATAGTCCTGGTTCAGTTCTGGTATAGTCCTGGTTCAGTCCTGGTATAGTCCTGGTTCAGTTCTGGTATAGTCCTGGTTCAGTCCGGCATTTTAGTTCATTCATTTAAACACAAAATCAAAAACTGAAAAAACGAACTATTATCCCCCTTTTTTTTTTCTCTCCATTTTGTTTTTGGAGACAAATAATGAAGAAAACTGTTGTTTATTCATTTTCTTATTTTTGGTTTTATTATGAAAAACAAATGAACAAATGATACACAGACTGAGCCCCCACAGTCCCTCTCCTGCACTAGTCTCTTACATTTGTCTAGATCTGACCTCTCATCCTGCGTCCTGGCCGTAGACTCTATTTGCTCCTGACCCGCACAATAGTTTATGTTCTGTCACGTGCGGCCTTGACATACATCCCGTCTCCGTGACCCCTCCCCCCTCTGCCCCGTTGGCCTCTGATTGGTTTAAATCAAGTGATGTCATAACATTATAAAGGACAAATTGCTTTAAAATGAGAACTATGGTTGAGCTCATTTTGGATTATGGTGAATATTGAAACTAGACCTCTTCAAGTGAAATAAAATAGGTACTCAGTTAATTAATTTTATGTTTTTTTGTTGTTTTTATTTACAATAGTCATTTTAAAGGTCCCATATTCCACAAAATTGGGCTATTTTTTCATCCGCAACCGCGACACAAAACTCATCATCCGCCCGCTGTCCATTTTGCACCGAAGGTTTTCAAAACCGCACCCGCCCGCCCATTAGATTTTAGAACAATCATACAGCAAACAAACTAAGGAGCCTCGATAAAAATGCAAACTCTATAGCTCATTCATTCCAAAATTCGCTCAGCGTGTATGTTTGCATTCTTAAATGTCCGTAACAACCCCAAACTTACCTGGTTTTCTTGCGCAGCTAATTAATTGACAACGTTTTCCGACGAGGCTGTTTTTGAACCTTCTTGCCTTCGTGTTGGATGTTGTTACATTCTGAACATTCTGCCATTGCCCGATGTTATTTCAAAGTCATAGCCTCACTCCATCGGTCTTTCTTTAAGTTTTAAAACCCCGAGTGGCAGTCTACGCTATAATGTCTGCGTGTTTTAAAATATAACTGATATCGAAACAAAATAGACAGATCATCTCATCCAGATGAACCTTTATTGAAATCAGGCAATGCCCTCTTTATATTCCAATTGAAATAGGCAAGAAAAAATATGCATAACTAAATAAATATGGCCCTATAGCCACTTATGTGTTGGCAAACAGCTGAAATAAATTAGAAATAATAAAATAAACTGCATATAATATGTGCCTCGTAAACCTTAGGCATCAATAACCCGACACAACCTTAACCTTCAGAACATAAAAACGAGGTCAAATGGGCTAATTAAGGATATGACGTACACTTCATTACTACAAGCATAGACAATGACACTCGTCTTTTCAGATGTAGGTAACAATACTAACTTTTTTTTTTTTGTAGTTAATCCGCCACCCGCCCGAATTTAATTAAAATATAATTTTTCGTCACGTCATCCGCCCGACCCGCACATCTCTAATTCACATGGAGAGTCTGGTGTAAAAACAGATTTTCTTCGGGTGTTTTGTGGAGTGGGTAAGACTGTTTTTAGTGGCAGGAGAACTATGACCACTGACATGCACTAGTCTAGCACCAGTGACCTCTGCAAATACAAGGACTGGATGGAATCTTTAAACACTCTGGATCACTAGGAAATGAGGTCCTATGTCTAAAAATCCAGACTGTCCCTTTAAGGTTAAAATTTCCAAATAAAATTGCAAATGTAACAGAAATTAAATCCTTTTTTCCTAAAACACTACCCTAAAAATCTAAAATTTCACCATCAAATTGTAAACATGGACACCGCAAATTGTCAATGTCGTCTCTCTCTCTCTTTCTCTTTTTTTTTCTTCTTTCTACCATTTTACACCAGTCAGCAGCAGCTATAAGGCAGCCCACTCCAGTTCCCCATGGCTCTGAATTAACACTCCAATCAATATCGGCCCTCAGCGCTCTGATTTACGAGTTACCCTGAACTGCTCTCGTCTCTGCGGGTTATGGATGCCTGTGTGTATGTAGCGTTTATGGCTCTGCTCCAGGTATTATGACTGATACTTGGGCGCATGGGAAGCGAGGGAGAGCTGGTTTACGGCGCGGGGTCTCGGAGGGGCAGTAAAATTCATCAGATCTCTCCATCACAGAGGATAGAGAAGAGGAGAAGATGAGGGAGAGGAGGAGGGGGAGGAGGAGAGGATAGGGCTTCCCTCTGTGAAGCTATGTCATTCAGAAGCTTTGTGCTACAGAGTGTAACGTCAGTATAGGTTTAAAGTCCTATATTACGCAAAATGTGAGCTTTAAGTTGTGTTATAATGTTGTCACCTCCTCGAAAACAGACCTGGAGTTGTTTTTTGTTTGATTCACACATGTTTGAGTAACTCTTTATTATTAATCTGTCTACATTTCCAAGCTTGTAGTGATGTAGTTTTTAAGTTAACATCATTTTTATTTACCTTTTGTGCAGTACAGATTGGCAATTCCAGGGCTGAAATTATAGGAATGAACGGTGTATGGAGTTTAAAAACTGTGTTACTACATGACATCACAGAGTGGAACAGAGCATTTTGAGCTCTGGAGATGTAGGTGGTGTCCACACGACAACATTTTTTGGTTGAAACGGTGAAGCGTTTATTCATTTTGGCCTTTTGTCCACACGGAGCCGGTGTTTTGGGTGGGCAAAAACGGGTTCCAGTTTGGAGAAATCTGAGACAGGCAAACTGCAGCTTTTGGAAAACGATGACGTCGCGACCCAGTCATCGCCACGTGACCAGAAGAGAACCCCACGCAGGAAGGCATAATGGCTGCTCATTCAAGTCAATGGGCCAAGCTCAATGGCGCATGACTCCAGATTCGTCTTTAGCCCAGCGAGGTACTTCCAGTGTCTCTGGGCCGACTGAGCATGTGCAGTGGTGCTCTTTTCTCCCTCGGGCACACATGGAGCACAGTCTTGTGTATCACGTGATCGCTTTGACCAATCAGAGCGAGAGGCACTAGAGCGGAGCCACAGCTAAATATTATAAAATATTTTTTAAGAAAACTGAAGGATTTTGAGCTTAGAAAAAGTTTATGATCTAAAAATATGTAAAAATCGCCATTAAAATTGTTGACATTTTTGAAAGTCATAGATGCTCTGCTCTGTCAGGCAAACACGAGCAGTTTGTGATTACATTGTGCTCTATGAGAAAAATCCTGTCTTAGCCCAGGGGATTTTTTCCGCTGATGTACCAGTGAGTGTCACTACATCAACTGGAAGCAGCTACAAGCAACAACACCCTATTATTATTATTAATAGATCCATGGCTCGTTGTAGTATTGTGTGTCCAGTGGCTCTGGCTGTGTCCTGTTAACAGCACCACATACAGGTGTGGCAAATGTATTGCATCGTTTTCACTCTGTTGTTGTCTGGATGTCAATATTTATTGATCCGACACGTGTGTGGACATGAATTTTTTTCAACCCTCAAAAATAGTAACGTTGTCGTATGAACATAGTCGTAGACAGAGTAATTCTCAGGATTACTCAAACATGTATGAATGAAACAAAACACATCTAATTTTAATTCTAAACATAAAATAGTTCAATTTTTTGTATTTTTAGTTTGAGAGAAAAAGTCAGCCTAAATACGCAGGGTTTGTGTGTTAAACGTGTGAATAAAACAAAACACAACTACAGGTCTGTTTTTGAGTTGTGTTCACACCTTAAGACACAATTTGTGTTATTAAACTCCACACAGCTGCACTACTTTGAGCCCTGGAATTGCCAATCTTTACTGAACAAAGGGTAAAAAGGAGCTGTTAACTTGAAAACTACCGCTTCATGATCACAAAGTGGAACAGAACATTTTGAGCTTTGGAGATGTAAACAAACTAATAATAAAGTATTACTCAAACACAACAAAACACAACATTCTAACTTGGCTAAATATAATATAATTTAATTTTCATCACCCTAGAAACTGGATAAGTGTAATTTTCCATCTCTTAACAAACTCTAACCTTACTCCACATCTATCTTTTTCTCTCTTCCATCTCTCTGCCTCCTCTCTTCTCTGTCCTCTCTCTTTCCCTTCTTCTCCGCCCACAGACGATGAGTCAGACTCGGAGGCCGCAGAGTTGGACCTGGGAACCAAAATCAAGACCCCCAAAGACGTGATGCTGGAGGAGCTGTCTCTGATGAAGAACAAAGGCTCCAAGATGTTCCAGATGAGACAGCAGCGCGTCGAGAAGTTCATCGTCACCAACGAGAACCTGGTCAGACTCAAATTAGACACAAAAACTCTACACACAAAACAAAACACTGAGTTACACAAACACAAACTGCAGAAAGATGGACTTTGTCTCAACGTCTTCCATGAATTAAAGTTATAGTAGAGACACTTATTACGCTGCATTTTTCACATCTTGCAACACATTTCTATATATCAGGGGTGTCAAACTCATTTTGGTCCGGGGGCCACATCCAACCTACTTTGATCCCAAAGGGGCCGGATCAGAAAACTCATGTCATATAAACCCCAAAAATAACAATAAGTTCAAATATTTGTGCAGAGAAACACAAATCTATTACACAAATCTTTTTTAATTGATGAACTCTTTCTTATTATAATATTATAATATTATGAACAACCTGAAACTTTAAGAAAAATTCAATTTCAACACAATGTTTTAACATGAACTTGTATGCAAACAGGAATAAGTCAATTTTTCTTGGAAAATCCTGCACTCTGTATCCACCTTTCTCATTTTTGACATTTTGTTGATGAGGGTGTCACGGTCAACAGTCAAAACGATCGTCCTTTAAGAGCGTCTGGGAAGAGACAAGTCTTCATTTGTGCTGCTCTGGTGGGAGGGGCCACGTACAGAGACGCTGGAGACGCTGATATGCCAACGCACCGCAGAAAATTACCAATATTTTAATAGAAAATATAATTAAAATATTTTAGTAGAAAATCACCCAAGGGCCACATTAAAGGTCTTGGAGGGCCGGATCTGGCCCCCGGGCCTTATGTTTGACACCTGTGCTATATGGGGACAATAAAGTGTAACTTAACTTTAATCTTAAAGGGACAGTCCAGAATAAGTTGCACCAGCTAAAAAATGTGTAATGAAGAAGAAAAAATATTTATGAGGTGCACCGGACTTTAAGTTGCACTTTTTGGAGGACCTGGTTTAGTCCTGGTTTAGACCTGGTTTGGGACGCTTTCACACTGCTAGTTTGATTATTTGGTCGGCACCAGGCAATAAATTTGTTATTGTGTAGCATATAGACTCCAGTGTGGTCCTTTAACACCGGCAAACGAACCAAAATTGGTCCAATTGACGTTTCATTAATATTTATCTTCCAGTAGAAGTAAGTGCCTATTTTGGGGTCAGTCCGACGTTCCCCAGCACCACTATGAAAGGTGCTGATGTTCCCCCGTTAACATCGCGGGCCATCCTCATGAACTCATAAAACTTTGTACAAACTCACCGCACATCAGCCCAGAGCAGAAGCGCTGAGTTCGGGCAGCAGCGGTAAAGAAGAAGCACTCACTGTAGCGCGCAACCCCTCCTGACAGACCTGGGGGTCAGGTCCTTGGACTTGTCCTCCTCGTGTGTTGGTCCAGAGGCTCCGTCCTCCATGTGCTGGTTCCAGATGGGGGCAAGCAAGACCAGTGAACAATGGACTGGATCCGAGCGGGTCCGTGAAGTCCTCTGCGCGCTGGATCCATGCAGGGAAAATGACAATGTGCAGTGGAATACAGGTCCAGGCACAGACTTTTACATGGACAGTCTGGTGTAGTAATAGATTTTCTTCGGGTGTTTTGTGGAGTGGGTAAGACTGTTTTAGTGTCAGGATAACTATGGCCATTGACATGCACTAGTCTAGCACCAGTGACCTCTGCAAATACAAGGACTGGATGGAATATTTTAAAAAGGGTCTCCACACGTCTCCAACACTCTGGAGGAAATGAGACGTTATGTCCAAAATGTCCCTTTAATCTGATCGACATCCATATTCACATGCATTTGTCAGCAAGCAAAAGGGAACAGAAGTGTTTATATTGAAGAGTCTTTCTAACACTGTCTTTAAAGGTTGTATAGAGGATTTTTTTAAGGGAAGAGAAATAAAGTGACAGTCCTTGTGCACATTCAGAATTACTGTTGAAGTTTCCTGTCTAGAAGTAATTCAGCGACCGACGCGTCAGTTTTTAGACCCTTCGTCTGCTTCGGTCGCGCCATCGCTGGACGAGATCTCCAAGAATCACCTCAGTTTGGCTTTGCTACTTTTCCACTTCTCTTCTTCTTTCAGCGACCTCAAAAACTGACTTTCTTTTGCGGCGAACCGGTCGTGGATTCTCGTCCGCCGTCGCGACAAACTTTGTGCGAAATGCGAGGAAGCGACAGTTCGAAAAAGCCTCTAAGAACCGCTGCGTAAACCACGTAATCCCCGCACTCCGACGAGTCAGTTATACTAGGGAGTTTGATTGACAATCTAACAGCCAATAGAAAATGAGGGAGCCTCATTTTCTATTGGCTGATGTTTATCTGGCCTCACTACGTCCACAGTTGATAGATTTTCGTTCTTTTTTTTTTGGTCATCATAATTACAAAGGCTGCTGCGTCTCTGTAATGGTATTTTAATCTTTCACTGACAATTTGAAACTAAAAAAAAATCCTCCATACAACCTTTAACTACCAAACCAAATGAGTTTTAGACCAAGACCAACTGTGTTTCTAAAAGATAAACTAATCACTATTTTTATTTAATCAATCATAATCAAAATTTTCTTCAATATTTTCCTCTTGTTGTATCTGAGCCTTTACATATTTTAATGACTGGTCTGATCTTGGGTGGAAATCAGATTCATTTGCACAAAGACAGATTGAGAGAAATTTTTCCACAATATAAATTTCCATCACACATCCATAGAGTTACACCGTCCTCCATCTGTAACTGATACCTTTGTAAATGAAACTGATCAGATTGGTCAGACTGGATTGTGTGAGTAGAAGTTGGAGATTCCCAAGAGTAAAGCTCCAGACCGACTTAATTATAAAACTAAATAGACTTGTTTAGACAGGAGAGCTTCCCGCCTCTAGTTGATATTAACCCAGTAATTCATTTGGACCGATGCTCTCTGTATTAGTATGCAGAAAGGTGAAGGTGATTCTGGGTTTTAAAGTTTCATTGTTTTTGTCTTTTTTTTCCCCAGAACAACTTGGAACAGCTGCTGATTATCCCACCTCCACCTCCTCCAAAACCTGAGGTCATCAAACAAGAAGGTGAATACGGAGTCAGTTTCACAATTTTCACTTTTGGACAATTTTGGATGAATGTGACGTGGACGTTCAGACTGAAGTCGCATGTCAAAAGATCGGATATGTATCTGTTTTAGGAGCGTATATGCAAGTGGTCTGGGTCGCATTTGAAAAAAAACCTGATCTGTATTGTTCAGACTTTTTAAAGTCATTAAAAGATCAGAAGCAGGAGCATAGGGGTGAAAAAAAATCCGTGTATCATTCGTTCATTCGTTTTTCAATATAAAACCAAAAATAAGAAAACGAAAAAACAACAGTTTTCTTCGTTATTTGTCTCCAAAACCAAAATGAAAAAACGGATAACGATTTGTTTTTTCAGTTTTCGATTTTGTGTTTAAATGAAGAATGGAAAAAACGGATAACGGCCGTTTCCCGTTTACGTGACTTCCGTGACTGCGATGCCGAACTTTTGCACCGCATATGGACTGAATCAGGACGGATCCAGGTCCGAGACCAGACCGAGACCAGACCGAGACCAGAGCGGGACTGAGACCGGGACCAGACCGGGACCAGACCGGACCAGACCGAGACCAGAGCGGGACTGAGACCGGGACCAGACCGGGACCAGAGCTGGACCCTTTTTCCATTCTTCATTTAAACACAAAATCGAAAAACTGAAAAAACGAATCGTTATCCGTTTTTTCATTTTGGTTTTGGAGACAAATAACGGAGAAAACTGTTGTTTTTTCGTTTTCTTATTTTTGGTTTTATATTGAAAAACGAATGAACGAATGATACACGGATTAAAAAATCTGATTTGGGTCACTTCAGGCTGCAGTCTGAACGTAGTCTTAGATGCCTATAAAACATAAACCATTATCCATTTATTAGAGCACAAAGTTTAAAATAATACATTAATGGTGGTGATTAATCAAATTTGAGTTATTCAGCACAATATGTATAATTCCGAAATCCCTTGGTGAGCTACTTGAAAGAGGGTGGAGATCTACTTGCATCTCCCAACGCTACAGGTTGGAGACCCCTAATGTACACAGTCTATGGTCCAATCACGCATTATTAAAACAAACTCTTACCTGAGAACCATTTGAAAACAACTTCCTGTGATCCCAGACAGTTGTTTCAAAAGTTCTGTATAAATTCCCTCTTAGGCGACGTTCAGACTGCAGCATGAAGTGAACCAAATCTTACTTTTTCACCCTTATGCGACCTGTATCTGATCTTTTTTTTCCCCTTCATAACATTTAATTTTGTTTTTCTGTATTTCAGTATTTCTGGATTTTTTTGACTGCAGCTGAGCCAAACATATGATTTATTTATAATTTTATTTTGGCTACATTGTCTGTCTTGGTTTTCACAAGAAATCATCAGTGGAAAAAACATACATTAAATACTATTTGCATTAGCCCTAAGTCTACACGTTTAATAATAGAATAAACGTTCACTCTGGAGCCAAAGATAGGTTCTCGTGCGTAAATGCGTACCGGGGCGGCCCCTCCTGCCTCACAGCGGATCTTGAGCTGTCACAGAACCAGAAGACCCGCCGCTGTGGATTTGCTCAGCGGACAGAGGAGCAGAGACAGCGGGCTGGGTACAAAATGGACCGAGCGGCCGTGGTGGAAGTGGAGGTCGCGGCAAGTGCCAGTGTGTGCGCTCTGTTCGGAGGGCTGGTCCTGGCGCAGCACATCGTGGCCAAAAAAGACCTGTATCTGATCTTTTAATGACAGTCTGAACGACGCATGATCCGATTTTTTTCAAATGCGACCCAGACCACTTGGATATGTGCTCCTAAAACCGATACATATCCGATCTTTTGACATGCGACTTCAGTCTGAACGGTCAGGTCACATTCATCCCGCCGACACGTCAGGCTCGAAGTCTCGTCAATGGAGGGAAAGCGAGGTTAGAGAGTTTATTAATATTTGGGGGGATCGCTGTATTCAGGTCAAATTGGAGGGGTCTTATCTTATCGGACCGGGTGTTTTCTGAAATGATTGGTAAAGAAATGTCTGACTGGCTCTAATGTCAACGACAAACAAAGAGCCTGCGAGCCAAATACAAGAAGGATAAGAACTCAAACAAAGCGGCCGTGGACGTGTAACCTGTCCATTTTACGAAGAACTGGACCGTATTTTCGGAGACAAGCCCAGCGTTTAGGCGACTTCCGTAAACACTGAGCTCGCTCGCCGCATGTGACGTCATCGTGTCCTCCAGTGCTCATGCGGGACACTTTTGGGGCGTTTAATGTTCACACTGGAGATCACATACAAGTCACATTTAAAAAATCCAAACTGAGCATTAAGCCCTGCAGTCTGAACGTAGCCTTAGTCACTCTCACTTTTTTGTTGAAAATCAAACTCCTAAACAGGACCATGAACTGCTCGTATTGATCCATTTTGTATTTTTTCTTTTCAGACGGTCTTAAAACTTTTTTGGAGTTTTTGTTTAGTAGGGGTGTGCAAAAATATCGAAATATCAACATATCGTATCGTTTAATGTGATGATACAGTTTCAATATCGTGGGCTGCTGTATCGATGTATCGCCAAGAATATTATTTGTATATTTTGGTAAACTATTTTGTTACAGTGCCACAGTTTTGTTGCTTGTTTGTTGTAACCTGTCCATTTTACGAAGAACTGGACCGTGTTTTGGGAGACAAGCCCAGTGTTTAGGCGACTTCCGTAAACACTGAGCTCACTCGCCGCATGTGACGTCATCGTGTCCTCCAGTGCTCATGCGGGACACTTTTGGGGCGTTTAAAGTTCACACTGGAGATCACATACAAGTCACATTTAATTGGAAATGTGAACGATCTCACAAAAAAATCCGAAGCCAAAGAAAATCTGAGCTTTAAAGGTTGTATAGAGGATTTTTTAAGGGAAAAGAAATACAGCGACAGTCCTTTTTCAAATGTTGTGCATGCGTGACACCACCTCCCTCCTCCACAGCTCCCTCAGCAGAAAAATCTCCTCCCGCCTCTTTACTCTAGAAATCACGTTTGTTTACAGCCAGTGTGCGTTCAGAATTACTGTTGAAGTGACCTGTCTAGAAATAATTTAGCGACCGACGCGTCAGTTTTTAGACCCTTCGTCTGCTTCGTTTGCGTAATCGCTGGAAGGGATCTCCAAGAATCACCTCAGTTTGGCTTTCGCTCCTTTTCCCCTTCTTCTCTTCTCCTTTCAGCGACCTCAAAAACTGACTTTCTTTTGCGGCGAACCGCTCGTGGATTCTCATCCGCCATCGCTACAAACTTTGTGCGAACTGCGAGGAAGCGACAGTTTGAAAAACCCGCTAAGAACCGCTGCATAAACCACGAAATCCCCGCGCGCCGACGAGTCAGTTACACTAGAAACGTAAGAAGTTTGATTGACGATCTAACAGCCAATAGAAAATGAGGGAGCCTCGTTTTCTATTGGCTGATGTTTATCTGGTGTCACTACGTCCACAGTTGATAGATTTTCATTCTTTTTTTTTTTTGGTCATCATAATTACAAAGCTGCTGCGTCTCTGTAATGGTGTTTTAAACTTTCACTGACAATTTGAAACAAAAAAAAAATTCCTCCATACAACCTTTAAGCCCTGCAGTCTGAACATAGCTTTAGTTAAATGCACTCACAGGTTTCATGTTGCACTCGTGTGTCTTTTCTAGTTATCAGTTATTTTCCCAATGAGCAGATCCTTACGCAGCCCTCACTCCCCCCTCCTCTCTGTGTGTGTCAGAAAAACCTGAGGTGAACGAGGCGGAGGAGAAGGAGCGGAGGAGGAAGCAGTACGTGCGCGCCTATGTGTCGCCATGGGAACGGGCCATGAAGGGCGACGAGATCCTGGTCGCCACCATGAAGGGACAAATGCCCGGGCCCATCAAGATACACGTCGACCTGCCGCAGTACAAGAGCTTCAACAGGTAAAGAAAAAAAAAACAACAAAGGGGAAAACAGGTAAAAAAATAAATACCCAACAAAAGTTTCAGAATAAGTTTTACTGCAATTGTCAGCTAACAAAATTCACAAAGTAGGAACTTGTTTTGGTGTTATGGTGAAACATTAAACTATAAAAATAAGGGCATAGTGTTAAAATAAGGTAAATAAAAAAAGACTTTGATATACAAATACAAAATATACAAATGTGAAGAACAAAAGTGCAAAAGTTCTCAGTTGTTTAAAGTGACCACGTTTGCATGATGTTTTTTAATTCCGAATTAATTGTTCTGAATTAAAATATTGTCCGTTGAGGTTACATGGAAATAATAAATCATTAAACCGTCTTTATTTAATTCTGCTCAACGTCTGTGGGCCGAGAAGGGTTCTGATTGGACAGAGACACGAATATATTTACGTTCACACACTTCAGCTGCTACCGGCTTTTCTGTCATCTCGGTTTGTCGTTACGCCACGGACACAAACACGATCCAAACTTTTTCCGCAGTCGTTCCGATGATAATTAAGCAGCAACTCGAGAATTTTATCGTCACACTTTACGTCTGTCGGCTGAGGAGGAGAAGGGAAGAGTGTCAGAGGAGGGATGTTTACATGATCGTGGAATAAATTAATTCGGCTTTAAAATTGTTAAAAAAAACACACACTTACTACAGAATTAAGATGAATTCTGAATAATAATTTTCAGTTTTAGATTTTGTGTTTAAATGGATCATGGAAAAAACGGATAACGGCCTTTTCCTGTTTATGGGATTTAAACTGAGATGCCGGACTGAACCAGGACTGAACCGGGAGTGTCGGGACGGGCCCAGAGGTGCGCCCGCGTAGACTGTGGGGTGATTGGGACTGAGACTGGGACCAGACCGGGACCAAGACGAGGACTGAGACCAGTTTAATCCTGGTTCAGTCCTGTTTTAGTCCTGTTTTAGTCCTGGTTTAGTTCTGGTTCAGTCCTGTTTTAGTCCTGATTTAGTTCTGTTTTAGTCCTGTTTTAGTCTGGTTTTAGACCTGGTTAAATCCTGGTTTAGTTCTGGTTCAGTCCTGTTTTAGTCCTGATTTAGTTCTGTTTTAGCCCTGGTTTAGTCCTGGTTCAGTCCTCTTTCAGTCCTGTTTTAGCCCTGGTTTAGTCCTGGTTCAGTCCTCTTTCAGTCCTGTTTTAGTCCTGGTTCAGTCCTCCTTTAGTCCTGGTTTAGTCCTCCTTTAGTCCTGGTTTAGTCCTGGTTCAGTCCTGTTTTAGTCCTGGTTCAGTCCTCCTTTAGTCCTGGTTTAGTCCTGGTTCAGTCCTGTTTTAGTCCTGGTTCAGTCCTCCTTTAGTCCTGTTTTAGTCCTGGTTCAGTCCTGTTCTAGCCCTGGTTTAGTCCTGGTTCAGTCCTGTTCTAGCCCTGTTCTAGTCCTGTTTTAGTCCTGGTTCAGTCCTGGTTCAGTCCAGCATCACAGTTTAAATCACATAAACACCAAACGGCCTTTATCCTTTTTTTTCCAGTTTTCATTTAAACACAAAATCGAAAAATCGTTATCCGTTTTTTCATTTTGGTTTTGGAGACAAATAATGAAGAAATTAGTTCTCTTTTCGATTTCTTATTTTTGGTTTTATATCGAAAAACGAATTGAACGAATGATACACGGATTGAACTTTAATGCCCTAATCTGAAACATGAAAGCGACTGAGTGCACTTTCACATGACCATATTATTATAAATTCAGTGTTCTTTAAAAGTCAGAAAGTCAAAATTTGCACTTGACTGGTTTTAAAGTTTTAAATATACATGTAGACTGTAAAATTGTCTCTTGAGTGACCCTTCTAACCGCCTTATTGACGACATAATGACCACTCACAAATCCAAAGAGACGTGGAGGAAAGTCCGAAGCCAGGACTGGTGGAGCCGGATCGAAGGACGACACAAAGAGCGTGTGCTGAACGACCGGAATTATTTTTAAGAAGAATAAATGTTTACATGAACGTGGAATAAATTAATTCGGCTTTAAAATTGTTAAAAAAAACACACACTTACTACAGAATTAAGATGAATTCTGAATAATAATTTTCAGTTTTAGATTTTGTGTTTAACTGGATCATGGAAAAAACGGATAACGGCCTTTTCCTGTTTATGGGATTTAAACTGAGATGCCGGACTGAACCAGGACTGAGCCGGGAGTGTCGGGACGGGCCCAGAGGTGCGCCCGCGTAGACTGTGGGGTGATTGGGACTGAGACTGGGACCAGACCAGGTCCAAGACGAGGACTGAGACCAGTTTAATCCTGGTTCAGTCCTGTTTTAGTCCTGGTTTAGTAATGATTTAGTCCTGTTTTAGTCTGGTTTTAGACCTGGTTTAGTCCTGGTTCAGTCCTCTTTCAGTCCTGTTTTAGTCCTGGTTCAATCATGTTCTAGCACTGTTCTAGTCCTGTTTTAGTCTGGTTTTAGACCTGGTTTAATCCTGGTTTAGTTCTGGTTCAGTCCTGTTTTAGTCCTGATTTAGTTCTGTTTTAGCCCTGGTTTAGTCCTGGTTCAGTCCTCTTTCAGTCCTGTTTTAGTCCTGGTTTAGTCCTGTTTTAGTCCTGGTTCAGTCCTGGTTTAGTCCTGGTTCAGTCCTGTTCTAGCCCTGTTTTAGTCCTGTTTTAGTTCTGGTTCAGTCCTCTTTCAGTCCTGTTTTAGTCCTGGTTTAGTCCTGGTTCAATCCTGTTCTAGGCCTGTTTTAGTCCTGGTTCAGTCCTCCTTTAGTCCTGTTTTAGTCCTAGTTCAGTCCTCCTTTAGTCCTGGATCAGTCCTGTTTTAGTCCTGGTTCAGTCCTCCTTTAGTCCTGGTTCAGTCCTGTTTTAGTCCTGGTTCAGTCCTGTTTTAGTCCTGTTTTAGTCCTGGTTCAGTCCTGGTTCAGTCCAGCATCACAGTTTAAATCACATAAACACCAAACGGCCTTTATCCTTTTTTTCCAGTATTCATTTAAACACAAAATCGAAAAATCCTTATCCGTTTTTTCATTTTGGTTTTGGAGACAAATAATGAAGAAATTAGTTCTCTTTTCGATTTCTTATTTTTGGTTTTATATCGAAAAACGAATTGAACGAATGATACACGGATTGAACTTTAATGCCCTAATCTGAAACATGAAAGCGACTGAGTGCACTTTCACATGACCATATTATTATAAATTCAGTGTTCTTTAAAAGTCAGAAAGTCAAAAATTTGCACTTGACTGGTTTTAAAGTTTTAAATATACATGTAGACTGTAAAATTGTCTCTTGAGTGACCCTTCTAACCGCCTTATTGACGACATAATGACCAACTAGACAGAAACGTCGCCATTTCTCCTCAAAACGCCTTCATTACCGGCCCATAATGCACCTGTTTCCCTCTCTGGTGCGTCTCCACGGCGACGCTGTAACTTACTGGTAAAATCTTTCTATTAATAAACCGTTCTCTCGCTCTCTCTCCGTTCTACCTGCTCCCCTCACTATGACAACGGGAGCCCTTAAACGCCGCTTTCATTCTCTCCCCGTACTTCTTCTGGAGATGTCGAAACGCACCTTACAAATGTTATTATTTTAATCCGGTTTGAAGTTTGCGCATTAGAGGAGCCGGGCGGTGACTAATGGGTCTGAATCAGCGAAAGGAACTGAAGAAATGTCCACAAATTAATTTACCAAACACAAGTCAATGAGTCTGGAGAGATTTAGGTCCAGAAAATCAGATTACAAAGACTGTGTAGCTTTCATTGAATAGACTCCAAACATAGCTGTAGGCTCGGGTGCTTTTTTTTTTTTTGTGAGTAATTTAATAAAATCCAACATGAAGAATGAATGAGCCTGTAATCAGAGTCAATGTAGAGTCTAGGAACGCATCACCACGAAGATTATTTTATTAAAGGTCCTGTATTACATGAAATTTACTCTTGTAAAGACTTTAAGACATATTATAAATCAAAAACAGACCTGGAGTTGTGTTTTGTTTCATTCACACACATTTGAGTAACTCTTTATTATTTGTCTGTCTACATCTCCAAAGCTTAAAGGTGGTATGGAGGATTTATTTATTTTTGTTTCAAATTGTCATTGAAAGTTTAAAATTACAGAGACGCAGCAGCTTTGTAATTATGATGACCAAAAAAAAAAAAAAAAGAATGAAAATCCATCAACTGTGGACGTAGCGAGGCCAGATAAACATCAGCCAATAGAAAACGAGGCTGCCTCATTTTCTATTGGCTGTTCGGTTGTCAATCAAACTCCCTGCATTTCTAGTGTAACTGACTCATCGGCGCGGGGATTATGTGGTTTACGCAGCGGTTTTTAGAGGCTCCTCGCAGTTCGCACAAAGTTTGTTGCGATGGCGGACGAGAATCCACGAGCAGTTCGCCGTGAAAGAAAGTCCATTTTTGAGGTCGCTGAAAGAAGAAGAGAAGTGGAAAAGGAGCGAAGACAAACTGAGGTGATTCTTGGAGATTTCTTCCAGCGATGGCGCGACTGAAGCAGACGAAGGGTCTAAAAACTGACGTGACATAAATTACTTCTAGACAGGTCACTTCAACAGTAAATCTGAACGCACACTGGATGTAAACAAACGTGATTTCTAGAGTAAAGAGGCGGGAGGAGATGTTTCTACTGAGGGAGCTGTGGAGGAGGAAGGTGGTGTCACACATGTACAACATTTGAAAAAAGGACTGTCGCTGTGTTTTTCTTTAAAAAAATCCTCTATACAACCTTTAAGTTGCTCTGTTCCACCTTGTGATGTCATCAAGTAGTGGTTTTCAAGTTAACAGCTCCTTTTACTTTTGAGCTGCGTTTATATGATGACGGTCTGAACAGAAGACGCAAAACTGGCATCGCGTCTTCACCTTTTATTCCGTGTCTAGACGAACGTTTTCGGGAGGAAATCTGCGTGCATACGGTGACGCAAAAGTGTGTGGAATTCGATTGGGTATCCGTGCCAGGCGGCTCGACGGTGACGCTCGGTGGCGATGTATGTGTCGTAAACGCGTAGGCGACGTGAGCAGATCTGACCAGAGTTTTGCGTCTTGGGCAGTGTAGACGGAAACGCTACGGCGGAGCATATTCAACTTTTACACTCTGGAGGGTGGTTTCAGATTTTGGAGTTTTTAAGCCCCAAAACGCCGTCACCGTCTAAACGAAAGGCACTTCTGATAAAATATTTTGTTGTTTTTACCCGCAAGCGTTCTCCTGTAAACAGGCCCTTAGTTCAGGAGAAATGAGCAATTCCAGATCTGTAATTACGCTTAAAAATATATATAAAAAATGCGGGGGGTAGTAAAATATATTAAATCAACTGTGGTATTTTTTTTTACACTGAAATAACATAAGAACTACAGTGAGAACTACAACGTATTTAATAACAATGGACAAAATGTACTTATTTTACTCATGTAGTCGAAGTATTGTGTTTAATGAGTAAGTTCTACTGTATAATCAACAGTACCTTGGGGGACCGAGCCTTCGCCACTGCCGAGCTCTACCTCTGGAACTCACTCCCACAATCCATCAGGAACTCGGACTCACTGCAGCACTTCATATCACATCTAAAAACTTACCTGTTCAAGCTGATATTTCCCCCATGATTCCTCCGTTTTCTACAGTGTCACTTTTCTATTTGTTTGTAAAGCGTCTTTGAGTGTCCAAAAAAGCTCTGTATAAGTCCAATGTATCAATATTACTATTATTAATACAGTAGGTTTTAAAGGTTTTACAGTCGGTCCTCACAAACCCAAAAATACTAAGTAATACCGAAGTCCTTCTAGATAAGTCGCCGCACTCGGTCGCTACTAGAGATGCACAGATGGGCTATTTTTTCATCTGCAACCACATCACAAAACTCTTCATCCGTCCAGTATCAATTTGTTCCCACGGTTTTTGACCAGTTTTCAAAACTGCACCCGCCCGCCATCAGCCGATTGATCGAAGAGTTGTGAGTTTTTTATTTGACTAGTTAAGGGCAAAGTAAAGTTCTGCGTCGACTCAGCACACACTGTCGCCGATGTCTTCTTGCCGTCTTTTTTGATTTATGGATCTGCGTCGAGGCCTATGTGCCGCCAAGTAATTCACCGCTACAACACTAGGAGGCTAGAATATATGTCCATTCATATATACGGTCTGTGTGTACGACCTGCAGACGTATAATCTCTGAAAAGTTTAACATGAACCATCTCCAACGCGACAGAAACACAGAACAGACTCACCATCAGCAGAACATCCCTCTGTCACAGAAAGAACACTTATATTCCACTGAGTCCTTTTTAGGTCCGACAGAATCTGACACAGCAGGACACAAGAAGAGAGCTGTTTTTTTTGTTTTGTTTGTTTGTTTGTTTTTTAGCACTAATAGTCTATGCAAATGAGCCATGTCGTTTAAAGTTTTGTTTCTGTGAAACGTAAACAAATGTGCGCAAAGCTGCATTAAACACATTATTACTCAATGTATGAAAGAAAGGAAAGTGGAGTAAAACCACCACCCACCTGAATTTAATTAAAATTTTATTTTTCATGAAGTCATCCGTCAGTAATAATGCAATATCTGTATGTAACTAATGTGTCTTGTCTGTTTTTATGTTCGTATTTTATTTTTTTCTATAGACAGGTGCTGAAAACTAGTCTAATTCATCAGCCGGTTTCACTTCGTAGAAACCGCTTGACCTCTCAGTATTAGAATTTTGTTTGCTCAGCTGTAGGCAGGTACGTGTGGCGCTAACGGGGCTAACTGTTATATTAAGTTTTCCAAATCCTGTAGGAAGAAGGACAATTACGTCTTTTCCCTTGATAAAATTCACCAAACATTCTCTTTGTTCCGGCTTTAAATCCTCGATCTCAGGAATTGTTGACAACACTGATTTGCTGATTGGCTGGTGTTCGGATTCGCATTTTCGGGGTTTTTGTGAAACGTCTAGTGTATTCTGATTCCTGATCTAGAGAGAAATTAAATTGAGTGGAGGCACTTGGTGGCGCCAGTCTGACTAGTTGAAGTAACACTTGTAACACTAGTAACACTTGTGCAAAAACACTCAAAACAATGCATTAAACTTGTCGAATTTGATTGTGTTGTCCTTAATAAAGATAAATAGGCAAACCCGTTGTATTCCTCTCTTGTTTCCAGGACGGCGCTGCCTTTCGGTGGTCCTGAGAAAGCCTCTAAGATGTTGACCTTTGAACTCCCGGAGGTGATGGTGACCCCCGAGGAGCCCGAGCCTTTGCCCAGCCTGCAGCCGGACATCAGGTCCAGACCCTCGTTCAACCGCACCCCCATCGGCTGGGTCTGCTCCGAGGACAACCCCCACATGCCCCTGGAGCTGGACAACATGCCCTTCGACGGAGAAACCGACGACCTTTGAACCCGTGCATGGGAACAGGAAGTACTAGGGGTGGGCGATACTGGCAAAAGTGAATTCTGAATTGTTTTGTATTATCCACAACACTTTATTTCTACAAAGTGCTAAAAACTAAAATAAAATCATCTTTGAAGCAATTCCAGACTAAACCTCTCCATATAAAACACAAGGGAAAGTAAGATTGTAATGGGCTGTATAATTAAAGGTGTACCATGTAACTTTTCTGGAGGATTATCTCACACCTGCTCGTCTAATGGAGATAATGTTTTACCTGAAATGTTCCACACTTTGAAATTAAACTCATCTGTCTTGCAATTGCAGGTGATCTTATTGCTAACACCTGGCTTGGTGGTATATTCATAGAGATAAATTGAATGCCACACTGTGGAACTTTCCAGGCAAGGCTATAACATCTCCATGGAAGCGAGAAGTGACATACTGTAGTTCCACTTTTAAGTTACATACACTACTGGTCAAAAGTTTTAGAACCCCACACTTTTTCCAGTTTTTGACTGAAAATTATTTAGTTTATTGTGTCATTGCCTCTGAAATGAAAGTATAGAACAAATACGCAATTTGAGTTGAAAAAGGCCCCATCCACACTAGTATGTATTCGAGTCGTTTTCGTTTCGGCTCCGACTGAAAACGGCTCCAGAGACGGAACGATCTGGTGCTGCCAGCTCCCACAAATTAATTTGATCCAGCACTGTGTGGACGCCTGAAAATGTTGATACTGCTGATGTAGGAGCTCCTAGCTGCGTCCTTATTGGACCACGTCACTGTGACTGGCGCCTTCCTGATTCGCTGGGTTCGTGACATTGGTCATGTGACGCTATTGCGGAAAACAGTTTAAACAAACCAGAGACAAACGGGGGTCCCAGTCCACACTCTGAGCTGCCATGCTCATCTTAGAATCCAGTATTATGTTCAGTAACAACTGAACCTCATCGTCGGTCCATGAAAAGACTATTTTCACGCTTGCCATCTTCCTCGGTTCAAAATCAGCTGCTGCAACTTCAGACATGGTGCTCCACTTCTTTGTTTTTACCGTCCACATGTCCACTAGTGTTTCAGGCGTTTTGTGTTACTGTGTGGATAGGGAAGGCTTTGATTGTGGACACAGAAACGACTTGTCTGGATGCAAATCGTTTCCGATACAGTGATACATTCATTTCAGTGTAATCGTAACCAAAGAAATCATGGAATCAAGTTCTAGACCAAATCATATTCGAAACTTTTGATTCATGAAAGTGTCTACCTTTGGCAGATATAACAGCTCAACACACTCGTGGCTCTTCAGAAAGTTTTTGCCAAGTCTGTTGCAGAAGTTCCCATAAATGTGTGACACTTGTAGGTTGCTTCACTCTTCTGTCCAGTTCATCCCCAAACCAGCTCCATGGGGTTTAAGTCTGGACACTGTGCTGGACACTCCATGTTTTCAAGCTTTACCATTGTGTTCTTTTTTCCTGAGGTATTTTTGGCAGAGCTTGGACTTGTGTTTTGGGTCATTATCTTTTTTTAAACCTCTGTCTGTTCAGTTCTTACCTTTGTACCATTTCAAGCTCTTCACTGAACCTGCACGACTCGAATTGCAATAAATAACTGGAAACTATGAGGGTGTTCTAAAACTTTTGACCGTGTATATCTGTATAACGTCCCAGAAATCTTGAAATAAAACACAAAAGTACCAATCTATAGCTACAAATTTCACTTTAACTATTCATGTTTTTGGTTGGCGTATTTCCAAACATAATTATCAATATTATTTTGTATCTGATGTGCAGTATCTCCCGCCTCTGGTTACGACGTACAGAGAAATACAGACAGGAAGTTGTAACATACTACTGAAGGTCCAGAGAAAGTGTTAGACGGGTCATGTGATGTTAATGCATGGTTTTATTTGACAGAGATGACTTTGAAAATGAACACACACTACACTACAAGTCTTTATTATGATTTTTAAACCTCAGATCTGAATAAGTCTTACTACAGTTTTGCAGCTCTGTGTAAATGCACTCTGCACTCTTTATGTATTTATGCAATAAAGTTTCCCTTTACACAACACTGCCTCTGGGTCCGGATTCAAATATTTATTAGGCTCATACTCCTAAAGCAATTCTTCATCTAATCTCTCTGTCGCTGAGTTTCTATAGGCCAGTATTATTTAAAGGTGCATTGTGTGACTTTTCTGACGGACGGTACATCACCTGCGTGTTTCTATGGATCTGAAATGTTCCACAGTATGACATTAAACAGCTCTACTTTACATTTATTCAATTACAGGTGGTTTTAAAACTCAAAAATGCCTAGAAAAAGAGGCATTCTGACTGTGAGCGGGGTCGCCTCTCCACAGATCTGACCTGTAACTTGGTCTCTCTTGGTGGTTTGGTCTCCATGAACATAGAAAGGTTTAATAGCACATAGATTTAGACTTAGGCTTCGTTTATTTGATGACGGTCTGAACAGAAGACGCAAAAGTGGCGTCGCGTCTTCAGTTTTTATTCCGCGTTTAGACAAGTGTTTTCGGGAGGAAATCTGCGACGCAAAAGTGTGTGGAATTCGATTGTGTATGCATGCCAGGCGGTTAGGTGTTGACGCTAAGTGATGATGTTTGTGACGTAAACGCGTACGCGACGTGAGCAGATCTGACCAGAGTTTTGCGTCTTGGGCAGTGTAGACGGAAACGCTACGGCGGAGCGTTTTCAACTTTTCCACTCTGGAGGGTGGTTTCAGATTTTTGTATTTTTAAGCCCCAAAAACACCGTCACCGTCTAAACCACAGGTGTCAAACATAAGGCCCGGGGGCCAGATCCAGCCCTCCAAGACTTTTAATGTGGCCCTTGGGTGATTTCTACTAAAATATTTATGTTGATCACAGCAGCGTCTCCAGCATCTCTGCACGTGGCCCCTCCCACCAGAGCAGCACAAATGAAGACTTGTCTCTTTCCAAACGCTCTTAAAGGACGATCGTTTTGACTGTCGACCGTGACACCCTCATCAGAAAAATGTCAAAAATGAGAAAAGTGGAGCCGAGTGCAGAATTTTCCAAGAAAAATTGACTTATTACATACAAGTTCATGTTAAAACATTGTGTTGAAATTGAATTTTTCTTAAAGTTTCAGGTTGTTCATAATATTATAAACTTATAATAAGAAAGAGTTCATCAATTAAAAAAGATTTATGTAATAGATTTGTGTTTCTCTGCACAAATATTTGAACTTATTGTTATTTTTGGGGTTTATATGTCATGAGTTTTCTGATCCGGCCCCTTTGAGATCAAAGTTGGTTGGATACGGCCCCCGGACCAAAATGAGTTCGACACCCCTGGTCTAAACGAAAGACACTTCTGATAAAATATTTTGTCGTTTTTACCTGTAAGCGTCGTCATATAAACAGGCCCTTAGTTCAGGTGAAATGAGCAATTCCAGATCTGTAATTACACTTAAAAACAAAAGAAAAAAATGCGGGGGGTAGTAAAATATTGAATCAACTGTGGTAATTTTTACACTGAAATATATTTATACTGAAATAATCCTGTGAGAACAACAACTTATTTGTTAGCAATGAACAAAATGTACTTACTTTACTCATGTATTCAAAGTTTTGTGTTTCTATTATTTAATCACCAACACATTTTAAAGGTTTTACAGTCGCTGCTCACAAACCCAGAAATACTAAGTAATTCCAAAGTCCTTCTAGATAAGTCCCTGCACTCGGCGGCTACTTCGACAAACTTTATTGGTCCAAAAGGGAAATTATTTGGATTGTGAAACATCCCAGACAAAGCAAAAACATCTCCAGGGAGAAAAAGCATTCACCAGAAAAGTTACACATTGGCCACGTTTACATGATCTTTTTTAATTCCGAATTAATTGTTCTGAATTAAAGTATTCGCCTTCGAGTTTACATGGAAATAATAATTCAGAATTGCGCTCAACATCTGGGGGTGGGGAAGGTTCTGATTGGACAGAAACACGGACGTATTTACGTCGACCGGAAGAAAACATACATTTCAGCTGCTACATTTCTTTTTGTCATCTCGGGTTGTCATTACGCCACGGACACAAACATGATTCCGCAGTCGTTCCGATGATGATGAAGCAGCAGCTGGAGAATTGTCTCATCACGCTTTACGTCTGTCAGCGGAGGAGGAGAAGGGAAGAGTGTCGCAGAAGGGAGGAAGAAGATGAACTGAGACAACGGCTGCTCTACTTCAGCCCACTCCCGCATCCCGCTCACAAATCCAAAGAGACGTTTACGTGATCGAGGAATAATTTAATTCAGCTTTAAAATTGTAATAAACCACCCACTTACTTCAGAATAAAGTTTAATTCTGAATAATCATTTTCATTAGGAATTAAGTGTTTACGTGGTCTTTATTTATAGGCGAGTTTCATTGTTGACAAAAGCGCGCGTTGCATGCTGGGAATTATTTTGGTCGGCGGCAAGAAACACTAATTCAACATGACGGACGGAGCGAGAAAGCACGTAAAGGGTATTGATCCCGGTTATTTATCCACTCTAACGGCAGAGGACCCAAGACCATTTGACCAGAAATTGGTCATAAGCATCGATGGACGACAAATCACCCTTTTCAACCCCGACAAAAGGTGGACCAAACCAAATTTCTGGTCGGAATCACCAACTACCTGGACAAATATTCACTTCTTTGATATCCACAATGACTTGGTGGAAACTCCTGGGCCATTCACAGCAGAAAAGATGAAAACCTCCAAGAGTCTCGATGTGTTGTTGAACTTGTTGAAGTCCACGGTTTGCTCAGATCTTCTACGTTTGCTCTGCGGATGTTTGAAAGTCGTTTAATTCACCGTTAGTGGTTCTTTTCACTCAGAATACGAAAAAGACATTTTCCTTCTTCCGTGCTTCTATTTGTGCATCCGACAATGCAGCAGGAATTTATCATTATCAGGGATAAATACGCGAGGTTACGCACTGTGTTTGACCGCTACCGTTTCTTGCCTCTGACCAAAATATTTCCCAGC